CCACCGTGACAAAGCAAATCTTAAACGCTCACTCGCAACGATTTCTGGCAGCTCTATAAATGCCGCTAATGCGTACAGAAGAACTGAAGCTCTAACCTGGGGCTCTTTGAGCTTGTAATGCTTGTGATCAATTGTGTCTTGGAGAAAAATGTCAGTCTTGCATCACTGCTATGACTAAGCACTCACTCCTGCCTGCCTTGTGTTGGGCAGCTACAGTTATCCACCACGCTTCTGCTCAACGTTTTTCTTCTCTCCTTTTCACATCCACTTCTTCTACAGTCAAAGAAAACTTATTTTAATATAGGCCATGAGAACAAATATAGAAAAATCTAGAAGCATGGCCTCTCCTGACCTGTTCTACAGTGCCACATCAAGCTTAAATAACACGATGCACAATATACAGAATGCCCGAGGGAAGCGTTTTGAAAAGAGGGTGCATTACTGAACTCACTTTGTAAGGCAGATAACCCTAGGGAAGGCTCCAGCCACTTCAGAAAAGCTCTGGTTAAAATAGGCATACAAAGATAGCAGGACTGTTCACAGTGGCTGACGGGTTCTGAATATATTTAAACCCCAAGGGCAGAATTACAGAATTAGAAGAAAGACGCAGAAAAACTCTGTATTTTCTGGCATGCACTTCTAGCATGCAAAAGGTTGTCTCAGTTAACCCCCCCACGTCTCCTAAGCAATTTCTCAGTGCAATTTCCACCAGCTACAGCAGGTCTAAATTTCCAGTTAGAATTACAAAATCTCAGCTCAGTAGAGGCAAAGATAATCTATGAAATGCAATCCAAGTTAGACACTGATGTTAGAACATCTCTATAATCTGTTCACAAATTCTGCGCTCTTGCTGCTGCTTCAAAACCGCTTTGCGGTGCCAAAAATCGTGAGCTGATTCTCTGTCCTACTTTTCAGAACTGAAGGCCGCGATGAAAATAGAAAGAATCAATTCCCTTTCGCTCCTGCAACTCTTAAAAGCTTCAAGCAGTATCAGAAGCAAGCACCGAGGCTGTCAGAGGAGCAAATGCTCTTGCTGGCTGAGTGCCCTGATGGTTCTGCAGGAGAGCTGTGGCCCTCAGGCATGAGTGCGAAGAAAACAAAGACGAAGATTTGCACTGTGGAACACCTTCAGTTGGGAGAGTGTCTGATGCCATATCCAGAGTGACTCAGGGTTGGGATTTTAGGATGCTTTCCTGAGAAGCTAGAAGATGTAGCTTTGACTCTGCAGACTCAGCAGAAGCTAGAAGTCAACATCTGTCATTTCTGGGCATGTATACTGAAAAATTGGCTGTTACTTATAACTTGAGATGAGATTCCCCATGCTCACCCATCTGTTTCATCCCTCAGAATAACAGCAGCTATAGTGGGTCACACCAAAGATCCCAGCAGACCAGCATCCTGCCTCCGACAGGACCAAAGCAGATGTCCAGGGGAGAAGACAAAACAGAGGGCAAGCATATGGTGCTTCCCCAAGCATCAGCTGTGCAATTTTTCCAGATTGCACATCACAGCTCAAGGAACTTGAATTACTGTACAGACTAACAGAGCATGATTTCCCTCATTTGACATTGTTCTCATCGGCAAGCACCACCCATGTTGACAATTTTCTTACCCATCAGGTAATATTTTCTTACAATGCATTCTAGAGTTCGATCCCTTTCTGGATCATCTACAAACACCATCATGACTGGTGGAAACCATGCAGGATGAAGTCCCTCCACTAATTCCTAGAATTAGAGTTCTTCACCCTTGACAGGAAATAGTAAATCTCAAGGGTAACTAACTGAAAGGGTAATTCCATCTCAGGAACTGCCCGGTTCTTGGCTCTTAAGATACACGCCATTTTGGCTCTACAGAGCCAAGAGGAACACCAGAACAAAAGCAATTCTCCCTGGCGTGGGATTCCTCTGAACTAAGAGAGCATTTCACCTGACTCAGGGGACAAGCACCAATGTGTGGTTGCTATTGCACCAAGTGAGACCCGGGTTAACCTAACCCTACCAGTCAGTGAGGGAGCATGTGTTTGATGGACGCAGAGACGCTGCTTTTTCTAAAAGGTAGTTTTCTGATTTGCAGAATTTTGCAGATTCACCACAGAGCTGAATCACAAGCTAGCTCTTGCTACCTAGTCAATTATTTCAAAGCTATTGCACCTGCTATCCCTTCATTACTTTATTACTTCTGGTTGGATGGGGAAAACATCATCATAAATCCTGTGCATAAATCACTCTAGTAGCATACCAGGAGAGAAAATAGGGCAGAGAGAATTCATTTGGCCCATCACTCTGCTCAGCACAAAGCACCACCTCAAACATAGTATTTTAAGAGGTTATAAAAACAAGTAACAATCTTTTAGCCTTTCTAGGGAGTAGAATCAGCTTTTTCTTAATATCCAACTGCTGCGATTTTAGTACGCTACCATTTGCTCTGTCCCAATATGGTGAGTAGCTTATGCCCTTTCTATCTGAATATAACTTTATACATTTGAAAATAGCCACCATGTTTTACCTTAACCTTTCACAGTCTTTTTGCCTTTATAGGTTAATACTTCTAAACACCATTTAGCCTCCTTTCTGTCCTCTAGACGCCCTTCATTCGATCTGCCTCTCCCTTCAAATGTGCTGCCACAGCCTGGTACTGAAGCTTTTCCAATATCACAAAGAACGCAAGGATTTCTTCACTGCAAAAACCATTCTGTTAACAGTTATTTTTTTCACAACTGCTTCATGTTGTTCAGCCACGGTCAGTTTTTGATCTTCTAATGCCGGGATTCTTTTTTTAAGAAACAGCTACCCAGACCCTTTTCTCTGTATGCATTTTATTAGTTTTCAGCTCAGAAACCTCTCTCCAGTACACTCCTTTAACTTTAAAGTTGACTTTGTATCTTCTATTTGACTTCAAACTTTCTACCCTATTGTCTTCCTCCATCACTTCAATTCTCTCTCACTTCTGTCCTTCCTCTCTTACCTGGTGGACCTAGCAGACAAAAAAAGAAGACAAGAACTTTGAAATCATATAAAAAATATTTTATCTTCAGCTCTTAAGACAGTCTGAAGACATCAATCATATAAATCACCTAGTTAAAGTCCATCTTACACTTCTCTTTCTAATTCTAACATTTGTTATAAAACCACCCAATAGAGTAAAAGTGTAAGATAAATCTTAGAATTTGGAGAACTCAAACAGCAGCAAAATCGTGTTTTTCCAACAACCTTTTTTTGCAATACATCTCCCTAAAAGATCTCTTTTAGCACTTTGTTTCATTGCAACTAACTAGCCAAACTATATGCAAGTCTAGAGAAAACTAATTCCGTGTTCAAAAGGGTCAGGAATTTGAGGCTGATAGGCTGCACTCTTTAGACACGGGAAGGCATTTGAACCCCAGTACAAATAAACTTTTTGAATTGTACTATAAATGTAACACTCAAAGCTCAACTTTAGCTGCAAAACAAAAAGATCCACATCCCCACAGAGAGCACTTTATAGGGGAAAACAATTCTGCCAACTAACAGAATAGGAAAAGAGAAGAGAGAGAAGAGAGACGCTGAAATCAATTCTTGCCCCAGACAAGAAGGCAGAATTAGAACACAGCCTTTGTGCAGATCAGCATTCAAGGCGTTGCTGGGTGTTCAGTGCTTACTAGCGATTCACAGCTTAAATATTTACTGCTAACACTTTAAATCATCCACTACGTAAGGAGAAAGGTCATTTTAAATACCATCCGGCTCCTTTCCTCACTTCCCGATCACTCACAAGGAGAGTGGTATTTAAGAGGGCAGCTCAAGACAGGAGGCCGGGCTGCCGGTACCCAGCTTGTGGCTACGTACAGGAGGTGCACACTGCTACCAGCTCATAATCTGGGCAGGAAATCTGCTCCAGTACAGAGAACAGCAGAATCAGAGGATTATTCAAGAGAGATCCAGAGAACAGGAGTGCCTTAACAGCCCACAACAGAAGCTCCAAAACACTTAAGCAAAAATAATGCTTACAGAGGAATCAGGAAAATTATTTTTCATTGATATAACTTCTGAACACCTACTGCAGTGATGAAATTCTCCAAGCAATAATACTGACAAAACCCTCATGTTACAAAAAACTGGGGGAACACATGAATACAGGCTTTATATTTTACAGTAAAGATAAAAAATAAAATTAAAAAAAAAAATTTATTATGTGTCCTAGGAAAGCAAAAGAATACAAGGTATTTGAATTGGGTTTATTACTTTTGCAGGTGTTTTTAAGAAATCTGGTAAAGTAAGTATATGTCTTAAAGACAGCAAAAAGAAAAATCAGAAATAATTTGAAGTAACAGCATTAAAGAACTGCCTTTAAGGCTAGTGCAATGATTTAGTGCTTAGTGTAATGTCCCTGATGCACTTAGGGACAAAAGAATTAAATTTCAAGTCCGTCAGCCTCCAGATTTGCAAGAGAGAGGTATAATGTCAAGTGAATTAAAGAAGATAGATGAGTTGATGGATTCAAAGGGAGCCATCAGAGTCTTCAGGACACAGACAGATCTGGCAGTTGCAAAATGAGGACAGACAGCCTAAAATGCAAGGAGGAGGAAAACCAGCCCCCAAATATCTATGCTCTGAAATAACGGTACATATAACCAAGCGCTGACTTTGAGTCCCAGGGAGCAAGACAAATGCATACAACATTTTAAAGTGATTTTAGAAGTCAAACTTTCATTTACTATCAACCGTACTGTTTTCCACTTTGCATTTAGCGAATGTTTTTCCACTTTACTGCGTTTAGCATGAACTTCTTCCAGATATACAAAACAGCCCGCAATAAACCACGCTAAAATTGATTAGAAGATAAAGGAAGAGAAGCTGGTGAAAGTCTGGTACAGATCAGATCAGGCAGACAAAGAGAATAAAATGTTTTCTCAGTATGCATCAATCATATAGAAAACCCAGAGGACTTGGTGCTAACAGAGAGTTTTAGCTCCTCAGACATATTTTCAGATAGACAGAAAATACTTTTAATTTTCTTACCTGGGGGAATTTGCGTTTAATAGATGTCAGCGCTCCCTCTGGGAGTTTGGCAAGCTCTGAATCTCTGACTGCGTGTACCGTTGTGGCTCTAGGTTGATGGGTTAATGCCTCTACCTGAAAAAGTACATAGCCAAAACATTAAAGATAATTCACAACACACAAAAATCAAACATCAGGGTGAAGGAACTGAAGGGTTCCCAAGAACCAGACTTCCACACTTGTTGCTCACGCACATTCAAACAGAACGCCCGTTGCCCCCCGGGGCGCTTACAGAGGGAGTTACCGAGGGCACGTTCACCTGCACCAAGTATTAGCATCTATTTAATCCAAATCGCTCAGGCGCCCGCTCTGCTATCGGACAGTTTTTCACAGAACTAGAACCCGCAGCACCAGACAGACGGTATTACAAGAGCAAGTTTCGTCTGAGCTTTTGCAAGCTCTCACACACGGCGCATCTCCAGAGCGAGGATAAGAACGGCTTGGAACGCTTGCCAGAACAGCCACCCGAGGACACAAGGAACTCGCCGTCACACCACCACTTACATCTCTTAGTCCATCTTTAATCCATCATTTTTAGTTGTGATAAAGCCATCTACGGGAAAGGCAAATCCCACTTCTCTACTACTCCTTCTTTCTTCTTTCCTGAATGCCACCCTGAAATACTTTACTTTCATTTTACTTTCAGAAGCTGAAAACCGACAACGTTGAAATAATCAATACTTCCTAAGAATTAAAGAAAGGGATGAGGAACAAATCTGCACATTTTGGCCAGAAGTGAGCTTTGCTTTTCCAGGTTTTGGTTGGTGGGCTTGGTTTTTTGGTTTGGGGTTTCGTGGTTGGGTTTTTTTGGGGGGGTGGGGTGTTGGTGGTTTTTTTTACAGATGCATGGGTGCTATGTAAACAGGAAAACGTGTGACACTACACACCTACCTGAATAGTGCACAATTATTTCACCCAGAAACATTTATTTTATTGAGAATTGAAGTTTAAAGAAGAAAATGATGGCGCAATGGAACTTAACACAGAGATACGCTCCTTTACGGCGAGAACCTGACACAATATAAAAAAACCCGGGTTCAAAAATCCAGCTCTGCAGAACGCAGCTGTTCCCCAAATCCCCAACCGCACCATCTGCGGAGCCCGGACTCGCCACCAGCTCTTATTTTGTTTTGTAATGCAGAAATCAAATTCCCTGGTGAAATATCTTCACAGGCTTAATGAGCCAGCCCGCTAGGCGAGATGGCGTCACTCGGAGCTCGGGCGTTAGCTACAACATCTAATTGCTTAGAAACAGCCTGGTGCTCAGTTTTGCAAGTGCTGGCAATAGGCAATGTTTCCTGGGTTTAAAATCCATACATCAGTCGTTTCAAAAAACACGGTTGTCACTGTAGTAGCTGTAATTACTAGGGTTAATACACAAACAAAAAATTCCTCACTAACTGCAATTCATGGACACTTGGAATAAAAAGGAACGTGACTTTTCATTTTAAATTTTCCAGCAGAAAAGGAAACAGAAAATGTATCAGCTTCTAATCGTTTGGTTTGGGGTTTTTGGGGACAGTGATGGGTTTGGTGGGGTGGGTTGTTTGTTTTTTGGTTGTGGGTTGGGGTTTTTTTTCGTCAGAATTTGTTCCAAAGCATATGTTTACAGCAAATTCCAACACAAGCAATGCTTTCATTACAGAACTAGGTGCTCAGACACACAAAAAGTTCATATATATAATGCACTGTACAATGGCTGAGCTCTGCCAGGTGCCCCGGCATGTACTTCTGCCCACAGTACAAGAAAATTAATTTAAAACACGCAACTCCGTGACCCTACTTCCAACAAGAGGGTGTTCCTGGAAGACTACAAGTGCGCAAAATGGACAATTCAGACAGCCAGAACACCTAGATCTCAAAAACTTGCAATTAGTCCAGAAAGCTGAGATCAGCCTGCTAATATTAACTCTAGCTAGTGCAGAAGAGTTTAATCAACACCAATTGCTATGCATGAAAAAATGCTCAAGTAAATTTAAAGTAACTACATTTCGCAAGACCTAGCCTCTGTTTTCTGTTCAGATGCCAAGGCTGTTTTGTTATGTAATCACATTTTAAACTAATTGTATGGAAGGGGGGAAAAATAGGTCATGCCATCTTTGTACACACATTTATGGTCAAACAAGCCCCCTTTAGGTTCCCCAAATGGTTGTGTAACATCTTCTATTTTCCCTATCACCAGCTTTTTATCACAGTTTTCAGCTCTGTAATTTAGCTTCCTTATCCTGAAAGCAGGTTAAGGGTTTCAGTTGTTAAAATAAAACCTTTCCTATCAGCCAGTCATCAGCTGATTGAGTTTATTTAAAGAAGAAAAACACTCAAACTGTCCAACATCCTTTTCCACTCTTTTCATGATATATAAGTGCATAAAATTAACTGTGCTCCAAAGGGATCACAAGTCTTTCAGAGAAGACGAGATTTGTAAAAAAGGGGATTAAATTTTCACTTTAAAACAAAGCCTCAGGGATTTTTTTTTTCCTCCAAACTGTGACTTTGTCTTTTCGAATTGTTCCCTAGGCAGATCAGAGGGGAGGTGGAGACCTTTTCCAAACCTCCTTCACAAGGAGCCGTTCAAATCTCTGGAGCAAGTTGCATTTGCAACATTACCAGCGTTACGGATCCCCGCACTCGCAGGGTGTTTGCTGAATGGAATTCCCAGCTGATTACAGAAATGGGATCTTGTACTACTCTTACATACAGGAACTATGCAAGTCTTGCCATTAGCTTTGCTATTTTCATGCGAATACACCTTGGTATTCCAGCATGGAAAATATCCAGGTCCCAGACAATGTACACCAAGAAATTCAAATTCTGCTTTCCCCTTAATTATCATCTCAGTTCCCAGTATCTGAATTTATGAGTTATCCCAAACTATTCATAAAATACTTCCTCACCAGAAGTGAGAAGGTTTTCTTCAACATTTGGACCATCTGTAGGATTATTCTCAATCTTCAAGACATTCTCACCTCTCCCCTCTTTACACCCAGTGGTTATAAAGCCTTCTCTGCACTAGTTTTAGATTTTCTGCACACGGGAATCTGCCATTTAAATACTTATTTGGCTATTCTCTCCTTTATTTGAGATTAAAAACATATTCTAACATTGAGTCACAGTTCTCCCCGTAAATGATACTTTTCTTCTTTGTATTTATTCTTAGCAAACCATTTGAGATGTCATCTATTCAGAGTTTTTTCTTCTTGCTTAGAAAAAGGAAGTTTCCTGCAACATGAGTACTTAAAATCATTTCAATCTTAAGCCACATTCAAATCCTTGGGGTCCTCTGTCCAGTGAACCTCTTGAACAAGTTTTCTCATTTTTCCAGGTTTGTAAATAGTACAAGACTTAGAGATCTAGCGTCAACTTTAATACAAATAAAATCCACCTGTGATCAGAAGATCAACCCCATAAGATTATTTCTTTGGTTATAAAAGCTAAATTTAATATTTTGATCACCCACCACAGCTACAGTAATCAAACAACACCAAGACACCTCCATAATAACCTTAATAAACAAACGTTTTGAGAAATAATATTATCTTCCAAATCTTATCCAACCCAACCTGAGGGATATAGATAGATAGATAGTATATTTGATAATTGTGTGTGTATGTGTGTGTATATATATATAT